CGACCACTGTTGGGACCATTCTCTGCATATTCTGCTTTTGATAATCGCTTTTAGTTCAGTTTTGCCCAGTCCCGCGAATACTGTGTTGTGGCTAACCGTGCCTCTCTTCGCCGCTCTGTCTGCTGCTTCATTGCCCTCAATGCCTATGTGTGCTGGGATCCAACCAATGGTAGTTTGGCATCCCAGGCTTCTGAGTCGGGTGGAAATTGTCAGGATTTCCTCTTTAATGTCTTGCCGGCTCACTTTCGAAAAGTCCCTCAGGGCTTGTACTGCTGATAGTGAGTCAGAAAGGACGAGGAGTTTTATGGGGGGCCGTTCGCAGGCTAGCTCCAGTGCTTTCAGAATCCCTACCAGCTCAGCTGAGCAGACTGCCATATCGTTAGTGAGTCGGTATTCGTGTGTGGTCTTCCAGGTCGGTATGTAAACACCGGCCCCGACTTCTCCCGTGCTGGTTTTTGAGCCGTCGGTGTATATAATCATAGTGTCAATTTCTGCGTCACGGATGTACTGTTCGACTCTCGACCTTGCATCGAGTATGTCATGGTTTCTGTCTATCACGTGGGCGAGGCTTTCGTCGGTGAACGGTGTCTTAAGCTCCCAGGTGGGGATGGTCGGGTGGTATTTCTTACCGCTGGTTATGGTGGTGGTGTCAATTTCGGATGCCGTTTTCCAGGCGGCCGGTCTCTGGAATGTTTGCATTGGGACGCTGACCTTTGACCAGGGGTATTCGTTGACAGCCAGTGCCTGGATGGCAGGGTGGCGTGGGTCAAGTGCCGCTTGGGACCAGTAGCCGTGTCTAAGTTGTTTTCTGCGTAGTTTTAGCGGTATGACGCCCAAGGCTACTTCCATGGCTTCTTGACTAGTTCCTTTCCCTGCCCCCAGGATGATTGCCATCGCCTGGTTCTGAATTGTGTCTAGTGTCTCTTTTTTGGCATCAGAAGCAGCATCGTATACGATGGAACCGTATTCAATTTTGCTTCGGATGAATGCTTTGTAAAAATTTAGTAGTGTCTTTGTGTGTGCGCCCCAGCCGGATCCTTTGATGATTCGTAGCAGGTTGTTATTGCTCTTGCATCTTGCGACAGTTTGTTCGATGTGTCGACCCCAGCTCATTTGGGAGTCGAGCAGCATTCCCAGAAATGTCGTTTGTATCTTTCTCTGTATTCTTTGACCGTCTATTTCTATGCGGGTGTCAAAGTCTTCGTACGTTCGTACTCTTTTCCAGTTGAAAATCATCTGGGTGGTCTTGGTTGGGTTGATACGAAATCCCCACTTCTCCATCCACCTTGTAACGTTGTTGGTTGCCCTCTGCAGCTGATTTCTGGCTAGCTCCAGGTTGGAATCGGAGCACCAGATGGCGCAGTCGTCGGCGTACTGTGATAACATGACGTTTTTTTCTCCTATGGCCTCCGCCAGGTCATTCACGAGGATGGAGAAGATCACCGGGGAAATCACCGAACCTTGGGGAGTGCCGTTCTCTTGCGAGTGGGTTGCCGATTTTGCGTTTCGCACTATCACTGAGTAGGTTCGGTCTTGGAGGAAACTCTTGATGTAATTGAGCGTTTTCCCCACAATTCCTACTACACTCAGTTTCCTGATGGCGGCTTCCCTCCAGCAAGTGTCAAAGGCACTGGTAAGGTCAAGAAAAATGGCGATTGTTTTCTCTCCTTTTAAGAAACCTCTCTTGACGTGATCCTCGAGTTTGATCACCTGGTCAATCGAGGATCTGTTAGCTCTGAATCCGGACTGGGTGCAGCTGTACTTGTTGTTTTTTTCGAGATGGAAATTGATTCTTCTAGTGACCACGGTCTCCATCAGTTTTCCTAGGTGGGAGGTCAGCGAGATAGGTCTGTATGAGTCCAGTCTCTGCGTGTCCCTTTGAGGCTTGGGTACTGGTATGACCGTGGCGTGTTTCCATTGTTGTGGGATTGTCCCTTCTGTCCATACATCGTTGAACAGCGCCGTTAGCACTTCGAGTATTTTTCTAGGGAGCATTTTGATTAGTTTGTAACTCAGAATGTCTGCCCCTGCTGCTGTGTCTTTTTTCGCCCGAAGCGCTGAGGTGACCTCGTCGATTGTGATGTCGGTGTCGAGGTAATAATCTGTGATGTCTGGTTCAGGCTTAAGTTCTCCAGTTGCAAGAAGTCGTTCTCGTCTCCCCCTCTCTGTTGGGCCGAGCATCTCTGTTGAGCTGATCTCATAGAAGAATTGTCCAAACATATCGGCCTTTTCTTTGTCTGTGATCGCCAAGCTCGGTGTCTTAATTGTGGGGATTCGAGACGACTTTTTGTTCCCTTTGATGGCCTTGATTTGGGCCCACACTCTGCTCGCAGGGGTGCTCGGATTCAGACTCTGACAGAATGTTTTCCAGTGGGCCTCTTTTGATCGTTTAATGATTCTGTTGGCCGCGTTTCTCTGGATTCTGTAGTCTTCAAGATTCGCATTGGTCTTGTTGCGTCTGTATCTCCGCAGAGCCCTTTTTCCTTCATCTGTAGCCGCCGTGCACTTCTCGTTCCACCAAGCTACAGGCGTTTTTTTCACTGTTGTGTGAGGTCTGACCGCTCTGTTTGCTCGGCTGCACAGGTGTGGCGGCATGTTTTTACTTGGGATGTTTCTGATGGCTGCTACCAGTATAGTGTTCGTGAGCCTTTCTGAATAGGCTGATAGGCTTTCGCCTAGGTCACGTTCTATGGTGGTTTCGGCTAGCTCTTTCTGAAACGCTTCCCAGTTGGCCTTTCTAAAATTGAAGTTGGGTCGGAGACTGTCTTCGTTTGTGAGCGCTTGTGCGTTTAGGAACACGAAGATCGGGAGATGGTCGGAGTTGCTGTCTTCGGATATCACCCATTGGCAGCCCGTGAGTTCGGTCGTGACCATGGTGACGTCGACCACTGTGTCTCTCATCCTCCGGTTGGGGTTGATTCTGGTGAAAGAACCGTCGTGTATGTTCGATGCATTTCTTTTATTGATTAAAATGTGATCTATTTATTTCTACGTTTTCTGGTCATTTGATTGCCAGGTTTGTTTACGTATATCTTTTCTTTGATATCTATTGCTGCTTATCTGTAGTCCTTTTGCCGCTCCATTATTGTGTTTGACTTTGTATACAGGCTTCCCATGCCTGCTACATTTTTAAAGGTGTTTTCTCTTCCTTTTTTTGTGTGTGTGCATTGAAACCTAGTCAAGACAATCAATATGTCTCGTTTTTGAGCTTCATCTATGACATTCTCAAGACAATCAATATGTCTCGTTTTTGAGCTTCATCAATGACATTCTCAAGACAATCAATATGTCTCGTTTTTGAGCTTCATCTATGACATTCTCAAGACAATCAATATGTCTCGTTTTTGAGCTTCATCTATGACATTCTCAAGACAATCAATATGTCTCGTTTTTCAGCTTCATCTATGACATTCTCAAGACAATCAATATGTCTCGTTTTTCAGCTTCATCTGTGATATTCTCAAGGCGATCATAGAAATCTTCTTTAATATCATCTTCTTTATCTTTAGTAGGTGCCTGCATATTAATCATCGTGATATTTTTCAATTTTCCTTTTATTCGTAACTTACCAATCCTATTACTAAGTTCTAGTAATAAACTAAGTTCTGCGGCCGGCTTTAAAATTTATAATACTTTCCCAAAAAATTTGTCTTGATAACAAATCATTTCCCTAGTTCATATTTGTTTTGTTTCCTCCATACACTATGATCATTACACTTTCCTCTACGGTACCCTGTCCTGGCCATCTTATTTCTGGAACTGCTGTTATATCCATTCTGTGTTTTAATAACTCACAGGTCAGTTGTTCAGCTACTCCAGCACTATCAAGGGTTCGTACATTCCATGTTCCAAATCTCCAAAGTCTTTCAACGTTCTAGGTTTGTTCTCCGTTTTAAAACCATTTGAAACCGAGGCTTAGATATCTTTCGTGACGAGATGAAGTTTTACGAAGGTGGGGGCGTCGGTCCAACTCTTCAGCCCCCAACCTGGAGGACTAGGGTGTCTCTCTTTGTCTGTTTTACACCCTTTGACCTTTCCGGCCCAGGAGGACCTGCTGCTAGCTACGCTATCGCCGGCATAGCTCTCAGGGCCGTTGAGAAACACCAGCTCCCCCACCACGGCAAGGCGGAGACACCTGCGGGGGTCGGGACGACTTCAAGTGTGTATAAATAAATATGAAAAACAAATGTATACATATGGAGGGGGTGCAGATGGTGTTAACCCTCCCCCACCCCCGCCCCCCCCCACCCCGCCTCACAAACTTTCTAAGACCCGAATGGGTGCGGGGGTGGGGGGGGGAGGGGGGTTAGGGTCACCTACCCTACAACCAGCACATACTTCTTGCTGCTGTTGCTGGTACAACTGATACTAATACTCCTCCTGATACTGCTACTCCTGCTGCTGCTTTTGTTACTACTGCTACTGTTGCTACTACTGCTGCTGCTTCTGTTGCTACAACTGCTGCTGTTTTTGCTACTACTACTGCTGCTGCTGGTACAACTGCTGCTGCTTTTGTTACTACTGCTGCAGCTTTTGTTATTACTCCTGCTGCTTTTGCTACTAGTGCTGCTGCTTTTGTTATTACTCCTGCTGCTTTTGTTACTACTGCTGCAGCTTTTGTTATTACTCTTGCTGCTTTTGCTACTAGCGCTGCTGCTTTTGCAACTACTAGTGCTGCTGCTGGTACAACTGCTGCTGCCCGTGGTACAACTGCTACTAATACTCCTGCTGCTGCTTTTGCTACTATTGCTGCTGCTGCTGGTAGAACTGCTACTAATACTCCTGCTGCTGCTGCTACTACTACTACTACTTCTACTACTACTACTACTACTACTACTACTACTACTACTACTACTACTACTACTACTACTACTACTACTACTACTACTACTACTACTACTACTACTACTACTACTACTACTACTACTACTACAATCTCTCCCTGAGATCTTGACCTTATTATCATTGATCTTGTGACAACATGTAATCAACTGTTGAAGTATGAACTGTTGTCTTATAGCGACACGCTGGCTCAGGCAGAGAAACTGGTGCAGTTGATGAGAGCTGACACAAACGTGGACTTCGCCAACTCCTGGAAGCTGATCACACTCTTTATTGGAGCCAACGACATATGCGACTACTGCAAGGATGAGGTAAGTCCACCTATGTGACTACTGCAAGCACGAGGTAAGTCCACCTATGTGACTACTGCAAGGATGAGGTAAGTCCACCTATGTGACTACTGCAAGAACGAGGTAAGTCCACCTATGTGACTACTGCAAGCACGAGGTAAGTCCACCTATGTGACTACTGCAAGGATGAGGTAAGTCCACCTATGTGACTACTGCAAGCACGAGGTAAGTCCACCTATGTGACTACTGCAAGCACGAGGTAAGTCCACCTATGTGACTACTGCAAGGACGAGGTAAGTCTACCTATGTGACTACTGCAAGGACGAGGTAAGTCTACCTATGTGACTACTGCAAGGACGAGGTAAGTCTACCTATGTGACTACTGCAAGGACGAGGTGAGTCTACCTATGTGATTACTGCAAGGATGAGCTAAGTCTGCCTATGTGACTACTGTGAGGACGAGGTAAGTCTATGTGACTACTGCAAGGACTAGACAAGTCTGCCTGTGTGACTACTGCAAGGACGAGGTAAGCCTACCTGTGTGACTACTGCAAGGATGAGATAAGTCTACCTATGTGACTACTACAAAATGAGGTAAGTCTACCTATGCCACTACTCTGCCTATGTGACTACTGCAATGATGAGGTAAGTCTACCTATGTGACTACTACAAGGATGAGGTATGTCTACCCATGTGACTACTACAAGGATGAGGTATGTCTACCCATGTGACTACTACAAGGATGAGGTAAGTCTACCTATCTGGCTACTGCAAGGATGAGGTAGGTCTGCCTGTGTGACTACGGCAACCATAAGGTAAGTCTCTGTGACTACTGCAAGGACAAGTTAAGTCTACCTGTTTAACTACTCCAATGATGAATTAAGTCTGCCTGTGTGACTACTCCAAGGATGAGGTAAGTCTGCCTGTGTGACTACTGCAATGACGAGGTAAGCCTACCTGTGTGACTACTGCAATGACGAGGTAAGCCTACCTGTGTGACTACTGCAATGATGAGGTAGGTTTGCCTGTGTGACTATTGCAATGATGAGGTAAGTCTGCCTGTGTGACTACTGCAATGACGAGGTAGGTCTGCCTGTGTGACTACTGCAATGATGAGGTAGGTCTGCCTGTGTGACTATTGCAAGGACGAGGTAAGTCAATGTGTAGAACTTCTGCTAGGTTGAGGTAAGTCTGCCAGTGTAATTAGTGCAAGGATGAGTTCAGTCTGCCTGTGTTACTTTTGCAAAAATGAGGTAGGTCTATCTGTATGACTACTGCAAGGACGAGATAAGTGTCTGTCTGTCTACTGAATGGTCTGCGTTAGGTCTGTCTGTGTTACTACTGAAAGTGTGAGGTAAGTCTGTGTGGCTAATGGAAGGATGAGGTAAGTTTGTGTGGCTATTGCAAGGACGAGGTAGGTTTGTATGTAAGGCTAGTGTAATGATGAGGTAAGTTTGTCTCTGTGGCTTTTGCAAGAATGAGGTAAGTTTGTCTCTGTGGCTACTACAAGGATGAGGTAAGTTTGTCTCTGTGGCTACTACAGGGATGAGGTAAGTTTGTCTCTGTGGCTACTACAAGGATGAGGTAAGTTTGTCTCTGTGGCTACTACAAGGATGAGGTAAGTTGTCTCTGTGGCTACTACAAGGATGAGGTAAGTTGTCTCTGTGGCTACTACAAGGATGAGGTAAGTTTGTCTCTGTGGCTACTACAAGGATGAGGTAAGTTTGTCTCTGTGGCTACTACAAGGATGAGGTAAGTTTGTCTCTGTGGCTACTACAAGGATGAGGTAAGTTTGTCTCTGTGGCTACTACAGGGATGAGGTAAGTTTGTCTATGTGGCTATTGCAAGGATGAGGTAAGTTTGTCTCTGTGGCTACTACAAGAATGAGGTAAGTTTGTCTGTGTGGCTATTGCAAGGATGAGGTAAGTTTGTCTCTGTGGCTATTGCAAGGATGAGGTAAGTTTGTCTCTGTGGCTACTACAAGAATGAGGTAAGTTTGTCTCTGTGGCTACTACAAGGATGAGGTAAGTTTGTCTGTGTAGCTATTGCAAGGATGAGATAGGTTTGTCTCTGTGGCGTGTGTAATGATGAGGTAAGTCTACAAGCGTGGCTATAATAAGGATGGGATAAGTCTGTGTGACGATACAGCTTACACTGGTGATAAACGAGGTTCTTGCACGTGGAGACGAAGTTCATGCAGGTCAACAATGTGTGAGCAAGAGTTTCGGTGTGTAAGTACGGGATTCGTGTATGTGAGCAAGAGTTTCGGTGTGTAAGTACGGGATTCGTGTATGTGAGCAAGAGTTTCGGTGTGTAAGTACGGGATTCGTG